GGCTAATTTTTTTGTATTTTCAGTAGAGACGGGGTTTCACCGTGTTGGTCAGGATGGTCTTGATCTCCTGACCTCGTGATCCGCCCACCTCGGCCTCCCAAAGTGCTGGGATTACAGGCATGAGCCACTGCGCCCGGCCGTCTTTCATTCTTAAACCTCTATCCTATTATCCATCTTTGTCAGTTCCTCAAAATGATGCAATAGAACCACTTCTCAATAAGATACGTGGTGATGACCTCTAAGATCAGGTAGAAGTAAACCAGCCTTCCTTTGTCCTCCTTTTGCCAGAATAATTATCATTGGAAATTGGTTTTCCTTAAACAGTTTTTGTGTTAATCCTCAAGATAAAGTTTTAAAAGGACTCAGGAAATAGTTTAGGTGGTGATAATGGAGAGGTTCATTGACTTACGAGATACATTTTGTCAGTATCTTACCAATACTGCTTCTTCTGAACAGGGACCCATGACTAAGGTTCCCTTAGAATGTTGACCCCATGCCATGGTGGAGTTGAAACCAGAATGACTATTGGGTAGGCTTTATTGCAGCTATTTCCATCCTTGTTTAGAGACCCTGGTAGGTTTTTGGTTTTTTTTTTTTTTTTTTTTTTTTGACAGAGTCTCTCTCTGTAGCCCAGACTGGAGTGCAGAGGTGCAATCTCGGCTTACTGCAACTTCCAACTCCCAGATTCAAGCGATTCTTCTGCCTCAGCCTCCCAAGAAGCTGGGACTACAGGCTTGCGCCACCACACCTGGCTAGTTTTTGTATTTTTAGCAGAGATGGGGTTTTGCCATGTTGGCCAGGCTGGTCTCAAATTCCTGACCTCAAGTGATCCTCCCACCTCAGCCTCCCAAAATGCTGGGATTACAGACATGAGCCACTGCGCCCAGCCCCTGGTAGGTTTTAGTTTGGCCTTTGGTGCTCTATTTTTCTTTCCTCACACTCTCATTGGTTTTTAAGTTTGTTTTTAACATTTTGGGGGGACGTTTCAAGTATAAAAAAGTAGAATAGTAAAATCTTCATGTAGCCATCACTCTGCTTCAGTACTTAACAGTAGATAGCAATCTTCTTTTATCTTCTTTCAGCTACCTCTATTACTTTGAAGCAAATCTAAGATATACAGTTTTATCTGTAAACATTTTATATAAAGTCTATAAGAAAAGGACTTTTTAAAAACATAATCATAGTGTTTATATCATAACTAAAAACATTAACAATAATGTTCTCTTGCCCAGGCTGGAGTGCAGTACCATCATAGCTCACTGCAGCCTTGCCCTCCTGGGCTCAAGCGATCCTCCCATCTCAGCCTCCTGAGTAGCTGGGACCACAGGCATGCAAAAGCATGCTCAGCTAATTTTTTTCTTATTTATGGAGGTGGGGTCTCCCTATATTGCCCAGGCTGGTCTCGAACTCCTGGGCTCAAGCAGTCCTCCTGCCTCCCAAAGTGATGGGATTGCAGGCATGAGCCACCACGCCCGGCTGGAGTTTTGCTCTTGTTGCACAGGCTGGAGTGCAATGATGTGATCTCGGCTCACCTCAACCTCTGCCTCCCGGGTTCAAGCAATTCTCCTGCCTCAGCCTTCCGAGTAGCTGGGATTATAGGCATGTGCTACCATGAGGATATAACTATAAATATAAATATGCCCAGCTAATTTTTATATTTTCAGTAGAGACGGGATTTCTCCATATTGGTCAGGCTGGTCTCGAACTCCCCACCTCTGGTGATCCAGCCCCCTCAGCCTCCCAAAGTGCTGGGATTACAGGTGTGAACCACCGCACCCAGCTAATTTTTGTATTTTTTGTAGACACAGGGTTTTACCATGTTGGCCAGGCTGGTCTTGACGAGACTCCTGAACTCGGGTGATCCGCCCACCTCAGCCTCCCAAAGTGCTGGGATTACAGGTGTGAGCCACTGCATCTGGCCTGGCCTAAGTCCCTTTTATTTTATTTTATTTTTAAAAATTTATTATTATTATTTTTTTGAGACTCTTGCTCTGTCACTCAGGCTGGAGTGCAGTTGCACGATGTCTGCTCACTGCAACCTCCACCTCCCGAGTTCAAGCAGTTCTCCTGCCTCAGCTTCCTCCTCCTGAGTAGCTGGGATTATAGGCGCATGCCACCGTGCCCAGCTACTTTTTTGTATTTTTAGTAGAGACGGAGTTTCACCGTGTTGGTCAGGCTGGTCTTGAACTCCTGACCTTGTGATTCACACATCTCGGCCTCCCAAAGTGCTGGGATTGCAGGTGTGAGCCACCATGCCCGGCCTATTTTATTTTTTGAGACAGGGTCTCGCTCTGTCACCCAGGCTGGAGTGCAGTGGCGCGATCTCTGCTCACTGCAGCCTCTGCCTCCCAGGTTCCAGCATTTCTCCTGCCTCAGCCTCCCAGGTACCTGGGATTACAGACACGTGCCACTGCGCCCAGCTAATTTTTGTATTTTCATGTAATACAATGTAATGCCTATGTAAGTAGAATGCTGTCCCTGCAGCCACTGCTGCTGCTGTTCAGTAGAGACAGGGTTTCACCATGTTGGCCAGGCTGGTCTCGAACTCCTGACCTCAGGTGATCTGCCCCCCTCAGTCTCCTAAAGTGCTAGGATTACAGGCGTGAGCCACCACCCCTGGCCCTAAGTCTCTTAATATATGGGTTTCCCTCACTTTTTTTCTTGTGATTTATGTGTTAAAAAAATGAGGTCACCTGTTACAGTTTCCACATTTTAGATTTTGCTGGTTATATCCTCATGGTGACTTTATTAGTAAACTGGCAGTTACATCAATGGGCATGATCAGGTTTGAATTGTTAAACTTTTAGGGGCCCAGAAGTACTTCGTAAGTGGTGTTACGGCACACTGTTCATTTTTTCTCACCCCTTCCCAGAGATTGGAAAGGTGTATGAGCATTGTGACATCGATGACTGCTGGTGTCTCCGAGAGAGAAGCCAATGATGCCCTCAATGCCTATGTAAGTAGAATGCTATCCCTGCAGCCACTGCTGCTGCTGTGAAAGTCTTGAAACATGGTCAAAAAGATGGGAAGACTAAGTGGTTGGGGGTAGGGGACTGAAGTTCATCAAGTCTTGGCTCCCTGAATCAAATTTCTCAATTCTTCTCTCTTACTGTGGGAGCCTATCTCTTGGAGACTTGGGCATCTTTCAGTATAGCTTTTTATTTTTATAGCAATGTGGTCTCGCTATGTTGCCCAGGCTGGAATGCAGTGATTATTCACAGGCATGATTATAATGCACTATAGCCTTGAACTCCTGGGCTCAAGCAATCCTTCTGCCTCAGCCTCTGGAGTAGCTGGGACCACAGGTGTGCACCACCACACCTGTTGTCCTTATCTCTCTTCTTTTTAAAAAAATCTCTTTTAAGAGAAGGCAATCATCAGATTTAAAAGTTGATTATTCTCCTTTGCATCTTCCTTAGGAGTCCCATGTTTTCTGGGAGAAACTGAGTTTGAGAACTTACTGCCCTTGAGTGACAACTAGTTTGTTTTCCTTTCTCATATTCCAGGTGTGCAAAGGCCTCCCCCAGCATGAAGAAATCTGCCTAGGTCTGTTTACTCTCATCCTCACTGAACCTGCCCAAGCCCAGAAGGTAAGGCACCCTGCTCTGGACCCATAAACCCTCCTCATATATGATCCAGGATATGGTGGAACTTACAGTTTAACTGGGGTAGTATGAGACTCTTTGACCAGAGCTGGATCACCTTGTTCTCTAAATATAGTTATAAGTCCCTTTTTACTCAGTGAATTTGTCATCCTCTGATTAAAGTCCCCTCTCTCTCTCCAGATTCTGAAGCTAAATGGCAGTCATGAAGGTGGAAAAACACATAGAGTTTTAAATTTTAAATTTATGAGGCAAGGCTAAAAGTGTTGGGATTTAATCCAGGGAATAGAAGAGAACAATTGTAACCAAGTCCATGAGAGTTCTTATTCAGAAGAGCATGGCCTGGAGTTTGCAGATTCTGCCATTGGCAGGTGAATAGAAAACAGGCTTAAATTTTTAGTAGGTAGGATTTAGATGAGACAGCTTAATGTTACATGATTGATACAGTAAATAATATAGTGGTTAGGAGAACACTGGAATATACTGGAGTCAGACTTTCTGAGGAATATTATATGAAAACTAGTTTGGGGTTCTTCACAAACTGAAGAGTCCCCTTTATGTGGAATGGTTCAGGTAGGTTCCCTCCTTGAGGTGAGGGACTAGGCAGGGTGATCTCTTTGAATTCTGTTCTTTTTATTTATTTTGAGATGAAGTATTGCTCTGTTGCTCAGGGTGGAGTGCAGTGGCCTGATCTCGGCCCACTGCAACCTCTGCCTCTCAGGTTCAAGCGATTCTCCTGCCTCAGCCTCCTGAGTAGCTAGGATTACAGGCGCATGCCACCATGCCCAGCTAATTTTTGTATTTTTAGTAGATACGGGGTTTCACCATGTTGGCCAGGCTAATCTCGAACTCCTGACTTTAGATGATCCACCCACCTCGCCCTCTTAAAGTGCTGGGATTACAGATGTGAGCCACCACACCCGGCCTGTTGTTTTTAAAATAAAGTAGCAAAATTCTGTCTTTTGCCTCTCCAAATTTCCCCTGTCTAGCAACGCTATGTCCTTTGAGTCTTGGTATAATGAGTTAAGGTATGTGTCTGTTATCTGGCATTAACTATATGACACTAAGAAGAGCTTGGAATGGGGGAATTAACATTTCATTGGTTCTTCTCTGAATAAAGGTGATGTAGAGGGAAACAGACATACTCAGTGCCCAGCATTCTATTAGACTCTATCCAGACAAGATCTCATTTGATCCTCTCACAAAACCATATGAAGTTGGTGGCTCTATCTCCTCCTAACCACTCCCAGTTTACCTGTGAGGTAACTTGGAGGTCAGAGATGATGTCGTTTGTTCAAGGGGAACCAAAGGAAAATCATTTCCGGGGATAAAAGCAGGATGCTCATGGTTCCTTGGCATAGCTGCTTGAATTAATGCCAAGGGAAGGATTTATGGGCATGGGAACCTGATCTGTTTGTACTTCTAATGCCAACTAGAATAGGGTCTGGGGTGAGGGTGGGCGGTGAGGCAGCAAGTATTCAGAAATCCTTGGTTTCCCAGGAGAGCCAAGGCCATTCTGGGCTGGGACCTTGTCGAGTTAAATTGCTGTTTCATTTTTGTACTGAATTTATCGTCAAGATCCTTGAAGACAAATGAATGTTTCCAGTTGAGTGGTGTTAAAGAGTGATATGATCCAGTCCAGCCCATCCATTTTAAAGAAATTGTTGGCAAAGATGAGAGTGGATGGGTTGGAGTTAAAGTTTAACTTCCTCTTGTGTGGGTTTTTAAATCTGTGTGTGTGTGTGTGTGTCTGTGTGCGCCCATCATTGGCTATATGTGAGTTTTTATAAATACCATTCAAATTCCATTTAGTCATCTCAGTGCAGGCAAGGCTGGAAAGTTTTGTTTGTTTCAGGTGATCTGGACCAACCTGGGTAAATCAGTAAACCTAAGTGAAGGGGGCAGAGTATGTGTGGTATTTCTAGCTCTTTGCCTGGCCTATCAGTAAGAGGCCGCTGGGTTTTGCAATGTAAATGCAAGAGACTAGAGTATCTCCTCTTCTTTTTGCCCTATAACAGCAAGAGACTAGAGTATCTCCTCTTCTTTTTGCCCTATAACAGCCCCATGCGGGAGGCCCAGGCCCTCTGGGGAAGTGAAGCATTTGCCTTGGGTCTCATAGCTGGTTGACACCTTCACTAGCATTCATGTTCACATGCTAAAAGTTTCCAGGTAAATCCCCTACCTGTGAGCCTTTCTGGGCCAAGCCTGCAGGTCAGACCTCTTCAGACAAAGGCAGTAAAGACAGAATTAGGAGGACACAGTTGTAGGCGGGTGAGGAACTATCAAGTAGTGACTCATTCAGAGACCTTGAGCCAGGTCAGAGCACGATGGAAGAATTAGTGACGTATCTCCCTAGAGCTTTGATCCTTCTCCCTAAAAGAGTGATTATTTTGTAAAAATACTTCTGTCCTACAGAAGTTTTAGGTGGGAGTTACTGATGAGGACTGATTGTAATGCATCATTTTAGGCTTCAGCTTAAAGCAACGGGACTGCTTTCTAAGGATTTATATTTGGGGTTAATTCTGCCTTTGGAACAGAAACCTCAGGATGGATTTGAGATTTAGTTGTTCTTGAATCTCTATGGACCGAGATGGGATGTGGATATGGTGAAGTAGTGGAAACTGAGTCTTGAACAAATAGAATCCTGCTATAGGGAAGCATGAGCTGAGGAACTGGCAGGCAGGTTCAAGGAGTTAGGGCCAACTCTCTGGGACTTAGTGGGTGGGATTAGGATGGATTGAACAGGTGAACAAGAGAATTCAGTTAAGGAGAAAGCAGGTCAGCACTGGGAAATAATAGAGGATGCATGGGGTGGATTTTGTCTCACTTGTACCTTCTTGATTTGCATCAGCCCTCTTGGCAGCTCTTAGGAATGTTTATATCCTTTGAGTTTATTTATTTTCTATTTGGTGTCTGAACTAAACAGCTGGGAGCAGGCCTGGCTGGGGAACTGGCAAGGAGGGAGGCTAAGGTAGAGTCCTAAGCTGTGCAGGTGCTGGCAGTCCGTAGATAAAGGTAATGGGAAAGGGTCTAATGTCAAGGTCTGTCTTCATCAAAGGGTCAAGGACTCAGGCGCAGGCAGCCCTTGGTCCAGGTATTTCTCCCAGCAGGCAGCTCTAGAAAGAAGCTTGGGGATTACAGGCATGAGCCACCGCGCCCGGCTACCTGGGGCAAATAACTTTTAAGCTCTCCATGCCTATTTCCTCATCTGTAAAAGTAATAATTATAATAAGTAGTACCTATTTTAAAAGGTTGTTGGCCAGGCACGGTGGCTCACGCCTGTAATCCCAGCACTTTGGGAGGCCAAGGCGGGCGGATCACGAGGTCAGGAGATCGAGACCATCCTGACTAACACAGTGAAATCCTGTCTCTGCTAAAAATACAAAAATTAGCTGGGCGTGGTCGCGGGCACCTGTAGTCCCAGCTACTCAGGAGGCTAAGACAGGAGAATGGCATGAACCTGGGAGGCCAAGATTGCGCCACTGCACTCCAACCTGGGTGACGAGCAAGACTCCATCTCAAAAAAA